TAGAAATATGTCTAAGCGACACAATACGCTGTTCAAATATATGCTTTCCGGCCTATAAAATAAAGCTTAAGGGCAAAGAAATTTGGATAGAAAGGTGGATCAACAAAGTACTCTTTTAATTTTGCTGGATCAAACAAGTTATGGAAAAGGACTATATATATAACGAACCCACACCCTCTGGCGCAAGAGCACTACCCAAATTTCGTGATTGTCGACGGGAACTACCATGTAGGTTTTCGACCCAAAACCTATAGGCTAATGTTAATTTTGATTAAAAGCAAAGTCTTACAGTACATAGACTTACAGTCTTACATACAGAAAATTCCGAAAAATAAAAAAAGTTGAAAATTTAGATATTTTGATACTCTACTAAACTAAAGTAATTTTGGTACTTACAAGTTTTCGCGAAAATCTACATTAGCCCATATCTTTTTATCGTGTTGACTCAGAACGTTGATTTATTTATACACCTAATAGGGACTACAGACCTCAGTATCTGATATAAATTTCAACCTGTTCCGTCCACCCGTTCCTGACTGTTGCTGTTGCCACATGGATAGACGAAAGGACACGAGAGTAATCTTATAAGTAGAACCCTAATAAGTAGAATTCTCTACGATGGTCAATATTTGCTACAGGAAATATCAGAAAAACTATACCGAAGTAAGATGCCATGCTCATTTTGAAAGGCTTCTTGACATCTATGAACTTCTCCTATATCCGCACGATTTCCATCGGCGTAATATGTGTTGAAGATTTTAGTATTATTCGGAAAGAAAACGCATCTTCCTTTTACACAAGAAGCGGTGAAGGTTACGTCTATAAATAATTCAAAGTCAATGCGTTGAAATTCCGAAATGTTTATCCTCGCAGCTACTAAATCGAACGAATCGCTTGGAACTCCTAAAACTGTCGGGTCCCAAACAAAACGTTACAAAAGATATAGATATCCGACTACACACTCTTCCTTTACTACATTTAGTGATCCTCAAGCCGCCCCTGTACTAGATTTGGGGATTCCTAAAAATTATATGGGTATTAAATAGAAATTCACTTGCACTTAATTAGACTTCGGCGTAACAAATTGAAAGGAAATATCTCTTATTACATTAAGACTTGGTACTCACCATTGGTAACTCCTTACTACTTATAACCTCTCTTTTCTGACTTTCTTTGCTAGCCTTCTGACAAGCCTAAGCAACTTTCGCTTTTCCGCTTGATTTAATACACAATGCTTAAATTGTTTGTTTTTGTTTCTATGTAGGTGTTTCTTGTTACGTTCTTATTTCAAGTGCCTATATCCTAAACAGAATAGCTATTAAATAAATTATAAAAGAATGGCTATTTTAATGGAAGCCCATTGGAAACCTTGGCGAAGGGAATTAATACAATTTTTAAGACGTTTGTCGCCGCTTCATCGTATTTAAAATTTCTCCCCTGTTAAATTTATCTAAATCCTGAAAAATTTAATAAATTTTTGATAACGGAAATAACAAAATGACCGTGTCTTCGGAACAAACATGTTTGACTCGAATACTATAGTAGTATTTGTTTTTATTATTTCCGGAGTTCTTGAAATTTCATTAGAAAATTGAGGACAAAATTTCATCACTAATCGAGTCATCACTAATCAAAATGGCTTTAGTTGGAATGGAAGTTTTCGGTGATGAGTTTTGAGTTTGAGTTGAGTTTTGAAGAGGAACTGACCGGTGAGGAGCCTTGGGAGTTAATGTGAGCAATAAACTTTAATTGAACATTCATACATACTTTAATAGGCGTTTATATACGAACTAATTCTGAATTACATTAATAAATTCTCTCCTCCCCTTTTAGTATTCAGATGTCTAGACGCTCCCCAAAATTATATCCTTTCGTTGTTGACAATCCACGCATTAGAACCAAAAGCTTCGAGCTTTCTTATTGATTATGCGAACAGCATAGGAATGAAACTATTTGCATAATCTGTCTTTCCGTCCGAATATATCGTACGTGTCTTCAAAACAAGACTGAATATCTTTTACTAAGTTTATGTGTCCTCTATCTTACCATTTTTGAAAACAGTCGAGCACTAAAGTTACATGTTCGGTCTGTTTTAAATTTTATCTTTGATACATATACGGTGTTGCGACGCAAAAGAAAATAATAAATATTACATTTTTAGCGAGTATTAATTTTTATTTACCGATCCTTTTAATTTGAAATGTTCTTCTTTATATTTTAATAAATTTAAACGAGTTCTGAGTTCTATTCGAGTCGGTCTTTACAAGTGGTTGTTTCCATGGCTGGGGAGTGTTAGAGTTTTCTTCATCTTCGCCGTTGTCGTAGTAATGATTGTCATCTTCGTCGTTGTCGTCTGAATCGTTGACTTCGGTAAAAGAGTTTATCTAAAACGCAAATGAAGTTAATTTAAAAATTTTATATAATTATCTTAATTTTAATTTTTAGATAACATATAGGGAACTTTGGGTAATATGGCACACCATAAGCCTTTTTGGAAATAAAACTAGAAATTCGTGAGATGAAACATGGCCGTCGAAAATAAGCGATACTTGTTATTTTAGTGTGTTTTACGCGGTGATTAGTGATGACTAAAATATTAAAATCATTTTGTAAGATGATCTACTTTAGCTGCAAACCGGTTTAAGAATGTTGACTGGCTATTGAGCCGTATTGGCCTCAAGGAAGTTTTCAATCTAAAAAATTATACCTCAAAAAACTACTGAAAAAAAAATGTGAGCCGTCACGGGACTCCTGGCAGATGTCAAACATCGACATTATTTTGTAAAAGTAATATGCAGAAAAGAACAGATTGTGAAAGGAACTAAATATGTCATAATGATAAAATAAAATATTACGATTTTTTCCAGATAACGATGACTATTTATGGAATAAACATTTATTTTCATTAAATACAAAAATTTACGAATTTATTTCAAAACGTGACTACTTAATTCGTTTAATCCGTGACTTCGGTAATAGTACACACAATTAATTAAAGTTAATTTAATTAATAAATAATTATTAACAATTAATTTAAATTTGAGTAATTAATCGTACACACTACTGCATATAGACTATACAGCGTGTCGTTACCATCGCGACAATAAATGAACACACGTCTAACGCTACTCGCCAATAACCATAAAAAAATATTAACGTTAAACAAAATCCAAAATTAAAAAAAAAAAATATTTTTCAAACAAACTAATTAAGTAAAAAAGAAACAAAATTTGTAACATCCTAAACAACTCGCGCCACAGCGTCGTATTACAAGCCTCTCCTTCTAACAGTATGTTTTGTCTCTTTTAAATTCATTCAACCCATTCATATGCTTTGTGATTTTTACTAATGAACTTTACGTTACGCTTTTATAGGTAAAGGTGTTCTAAAATTCTTTGTTTTGGAAAATTTAATAACTCTGTAAATATTGATGTTTAAAGAATTTAAATGTTTAACACAACTTTCAAAAGTTATCCCCTATATGTGTGTTCATTTATTGTCGCGATGGTAACGACACGCTGTGTATATATATATATATATATATATATATATATATATATATATATATACCATCATATAGTGTGGTGACGCGTCGCCACGCCAGAAATCGATTTTACGTTCGGCTATAGATGTTTCACATCAAAAAATGCCTAAAACATGTTGCCACCCCGTCTACTAAGGACTCCGTTACAAATTTGTGCACTAGTATTTAAAAACAATAATAATTTGAAGAGACAACATGTACCGCTTACTTTCGTCAATTTCGGAAAAATATATGTAGCCATATTGGCTAACTAGGCCATGTTACCAGAAATTACTCTAATTGAGTTAGGTTAATATTAAATAAGACAAACTTATTTAATATTAAATCTAAGGATTTTTAGAATAAATAAAAAAATCATATGTCAGAGGGAAGGAAAAATGACGGAAAATGATTAATGAATGGAGAAATGGAGAATGTATGTGTATATAAATAAAATATAAAATATATGTATAAAAATCTATAAGGAGAAATCCCTAAGATGATAAATTATAATATTGAAATGTGAGATGATAGTGAGTCGGAGTCAGCGATGGTTCGTTGAAGGTTTTTCGTCAACTTAACGTTAATGTTGATTCATGTTCCTCAACTAGTTAATGTAATATCTATGTTAATTTGCGTGAATGAACGGATATGATTTGACGCTGCGACGTGCAAAAAGTCTAAATCGTCTGACTGATTAATAGTATACACTTTATACAATTACAAATTAATGAATTTACAATAAAAGATACATTAAACATTAAGTAAAATTCTGATAATATTTAAGATAAACCGTAAAATACTCACAGATCTTGCATGTAACTGTTCACAAATTATCAAACAAAAATTTAAAAGCGAACCTGAACATGTCGTTACTAAAAGTAAACCAATAGTATCGAAAAATTGATAAATAGTTATCAAATTGCAGGTACGTTATTTTTAACGGGTTAATTTTGTTGAACGACCTATTTCTAGATTCTTTATATCCTAAACGTAGTTAACGAATTTAACATGGAGGATTATAGTTAATACGTTGACAAGAGATCAACCGTTGATTTAACTAGTTCGTTATTTCAACGCACATCTCTAGTTACACAACTGTCAGTTGTCATTTGTCAGTGTCATTTCCATATGATAAATATTGCGATATTCTTGCACGTGCTTGTTTATCGTGCAGTCTCCGTTTTCGTGCGTAGAATTTGAATTAAAACACGTTACTAATGTTAATAAATAAACATGATAAATCAAAAGAAGATTTTGCCCAAACCCTCCTTAGCGTATACAAGCAATCCAGATTACCGAAAACCGCCAAAAGTTGCTAATCCGGTATGTGAGTTGTTTGTTATTCTTTTCATAACCTTTTATTAATATATTAAAAAATGAATATCTTCGTAATTACAAAGTTTATATTGATTTGTCATTTTTATTTTAGTACTTGCAATGTCTCGGAGCGCCTCATATAGATTCTTTTAACTACATGTTACAAGATGGCTTGAAAACTGCTTTAGCAGACCTGGTTCCTGCCGAATTTGAACTGCCAAGCGGCGAAAAGATTAAAATAACCATAGACGAGGCCGCCTTCGGTAAACCATGTGTCCCGATGGATGTTGTTGGTGTTAAGAACCAAACAATACTCCCAACAGAATGTAGACAGAGGGCAGCAACTTATAAAGGGGAATTTAAAATAAGAATGACGTTTACTGTCAATCACAAAGCAATTACTATTGATAGGTCTTTGGGTAATTTGCCTATTATGTTAAAGGTATGATTAATATTCAAATATTTTTTTATGTGGAAGATGTTGGCAACTGAGTAAGCAGCCAGTAAATGACCCCCGTACATGCCCATTTGCAACTTTATAATTGATGATGATATTTATAAGCATCCTGAATCATCCTGAAGGTCCATATGTCATGTAGATTCATAAACCCTCACTATGATTATTAATTGAAATGCATATAAGGAACAATCCCATAGAATATTCTTTAAACTTTTGTATTTGTATCTTGTATTTTTTGCTTTGAAGTTTAAAAATCCAAAGAATTAATTATTGGAATAAAAGAAAAAGTAGTTGCAGGTATCAACTACTAGGAAATGTACTTAACTTATCATGCATCAAATGTACCTTTCTGTTATTATGGCATGGCGCCAATTTTCTTTGTCTTGTATGATATTACACTTTAAAGTTATAAAGCATCAATAAATTTTACAATGGACCCGAAACCCTTAAATTATTGCAGCTATTCATGACCAAGGTGTGTACAATATCTCTGGTATTTCAGTTGCATTATAATCAAGTCATGACCATTTATCATCAGGTCAAGCTCTATGTCAACCTTATCTCAATTAACCATTGAGTGAAGTATATGTTAAGAAAGAGCTGGTAATATTTTTGTCTGTCTCTTCCGATGAGCCAGCTCATGTATGTAAGAAGATAATATTTGGGATATAATAATATTGTTAATAACATATTGTATATATATTATATCTAAATATTTTTCAGTCAAAAAAATGCCACCTAGCCGATCTTTCACCAGAAGAATTGGTGCAACACAATGAACATGCGGATGAGTGGGGTGGATATTTTATTATTAAGGTATGTTTGTATCCTTTTGTTAAACTAAGGGTGTATGCATGAAATTAAATAGGAATACAGGTATTGTTTAAATTTAAAATAATAAATAAAGCCATGATAGCAATCAAGTTTGAAATGTCTTTTTACCATATCAAACCCATAAAGTATACTATAGTAACAAGATTTAAAACAATATAAGAACATTGACAAGACTCCATTAAGAGAGAAGAACATGTAATATCTTAGAAAATTATTTTAATTGCTACCTTTATGAGTAAAAGACTTTATTAATAATATTAATAACAAAAAAACATGGGTTTACCTCGGGCTAATTTGGTACAATCTACTTATTTTCTCTGCCCTTTAGATGTATTTTCATGGGACATGGCTAACATTACGATTCTATTTTCTATCTGAAAATTCAACTTTATGAATTATTAAATACAAAATCTGCTTATCAAATTTATTTTTTATAAAACTCTTGTTCATTTATTTGCAGGGTCATGAACGGCTCGCACGTATGTTATTGATCACAAGGCGGAACTACCCTGTAGCCATTAAACGTTCAGGATGGAAGATGAGGGGCAATTTGTTCTCAGACTACGGAATACTAGTGAGATGTGTTACATCCGATCAAACAAGCACTGTAAGTTTGTTCTAACTAAATGAGCGGCTAATAAAACTATTTCACATATTTGATTTTATGTTTAAGCTACTATGCAAAACAAGGCTCTTTTTTTCTTTGGTTACCTCACTCATCAGACGAAACGCAGAAGTAGAAGACTATACTTCACGCCGGTCTTCGCTGAGGTTTTGGTATTATGATTAAAATGCTCAGACACAACGGTAATACTGGTAACTCAGAAGGATAGGCATAGATTACAATTCTCAGTTACTGAATACCTATTAACTAACTCATCTATCAGTTATATAGATACATTCTTTTTATTCCCATATACTACTATATACTAATACCCATATACTAATACCCATATACTAATACCAATTATTTGCTACCATCATGATAGCTCATATGAAATTGCTCCACTATTGTAACCCAAATTGACCTTTTTTATATATTTAAGAACTGTTAGTAGGTAGTGTCCTGAAGAAATTCTGCTTGTTTATTCCAGAACAATGTCCTCCACTTCCTCCAAAACGGAACCTGCAAACTGATGTTCTCCCACCGCAAGATGATGTACTATGCTCCTGTGTTGCTTATAATGAAGTGCCTTGTGGACTGGCCAGACCATTACATATACAGATTGTTGCTGCATGGAAAGAAGAATGACTTGTATTATGTCAAGTGAGTTTAATTGAAAGTAAAAGAGTAAGGTAACATTTTATACATGTACCATTGCTGGGCAAAGGCCTCCTCTGTATACAGCGTGTCGTTACCATCGCGACAATAAATGAACACACGTCTAACGCTACTTGCCAATAATCATAAAAAAATATTAACGTTAAACAAAATCCATAATTAAAAAAAATATTTTTTCAAACAAACTAATTAAGTAAAAAAGAAACAAAATTTGTAACATCCTATACAATTCGCGCCACAGCGTCGTATTACAAACCTCTCCTTCTAACAGTATGTTTTGTCTCTTTTAAATTCGTTCAACCCATTCATATGCTTTGTGACCTTTACAAATGAACTTTACGTTACGCTTTTATAGGTAAGGGTGTTCTAAAATTCTTTGTTTTGGAAAATTTAATAACACTGTAAATATTGATGTTTAAAGAATTTAAATGTTTAATACAACTTTAAAAAGTTATCCCCTATATATGTGTTCATTTAATGTCGCGATGGTAACGACACGCTGTATATGGTATTGGGGCATAGTCCACCCCTCGTCCCCACTGCTTTCACATATTTTCGAAATATTTTTTTTGTAATTACATCGAAAATATGCAGGTTTCATCACCATGATATCTGGGCGGTCGTCTATAATTCAATATACTCCTACCGGAGTTCAATACCTGCTCCCGACAGCAATGAGTTTTAGTATATAGTGATTTTGTATTTGTTTAATACTTAATACTCAGAGCCGTGATAACTCAGTGTCCGGGTGTTCGCCTTTAATTCAATATACTCAAGCAACCTGACTTCGATCCCCGGTGCCGGCACCAATGAAGTTTTTATCTTGCTTTATATTGCTCCGCGGTGAAGGAAAACATCGTGAGGAAACCTGCATATTTTCGTAATAATAACAAAAAAAAAAATTATATTTCGAAGATATGTGAAGTCCGCCAATCCGCAGTGGGGCCGCGTGGTGGACTATGCCCTGATACCCTCTATATAGAGGAGGCCTTTGCCCAGCAGTGGGACAGGTATAGGCTGTTACTTTACTTTTACTTAATAAAAACAGTATGTTTGACAATTGTATGTGTCGATGTCGTCACTGCTCGGCACCCGTGACTCCAACTGAATGGCATTCTGATGTCATGGTGAGTTCAGATAGCGTCACGGGACGGATGGATTCGATGACGAACAGCTGAATCCAGAACATGTTGCGCAAAATCCACGAAGAGGGGCACCATACCTTCGAGGAGTGCCGCTCTTACCTCGGCTGCATGTTCAGGGCCGAACTATCTAGGCTGTGAGCTGTCTTTAACGTAATCGCAAATATCTCGCATGTGGATCTATGGTGCGAAGGCGTTTCTACTGACGTCATGCCCCGGCACCCGTGACATCATCGCCAACCGCCAACCCCATACCTACGCAGCCTCCACGGTAGCTCAGTCTCTGACGTCACCGCAAGTATCCCGCGCGCGCGGTGGCTTACGCTGACGTGACGTCATCGTGACCCACCGTGACGTTCGATGACGTCGACAGCTGCATCCAGAACATGCTGCGCGAGCTGCACGAGGAGGGGCTGCACACGTCGGAGGAGTGCCGCTCGTACCTCGGCCGCATGTTCAGGCCGAAGCTGACCGAGCTGGCCCCGTGGGCCACCGAGTCGGACGCGGCCGACTTCCTCCTCAGGAGGTGCGTCATGATCCACCTGGACGGCTACCGGGACAAGTTCCACTCGCTGGTGTACATGGCGCAGAAGCTCTTCGACGTGGTGCAGAACAGGTGCAAGGTGAGTTGCCCTCTCTTTCTCTCCGTCCCTTCCTTTTCTCCAGAGGCGGAGTACAGATTGTTGTACCTTCTGATGGGCAAGAAAGTACTGACCATCGCAGTGTAGGATGACCCCCCCCACTAGGTGGAGCGATGCCTCTCGAGAACCTTTCTTCCCCAGCGGATATCGGCATTCACTTAACATCAGGTGAACCGCCCTCTCGCTTGTCAACTTTTTACATAAAAAAAAAAAAAACAAAAAAAAGGCACGTTCTCTACTCCACACGCCAATCGGGCCAACATTTATCATTTTGTCTACAACACAAGATAATCCCATTCTATCATAAAAAAGGGGTCAGCAAGATCAGCGTAAATAGTGAAAATAAGTACCAATAATAATAAAATATCCAATATCATATAAAGAAAGATCGATCCAACTTGCTATTGATTGATATTTAACCGTGCAGGTAGAGGGCGCTGATGCTGTGATGGTGCAGGAGTTGCAGGTGGGGGGCCACCTGTATCTCCAGATACTGAAGGAGAGACTGCAGACCCTGCTTTATGTTGTGAAGGCGAACATCCTGAAAAAGGCAAAAACCGCCAAGAAGTTTGACATGAGCACGGTGAGATTGATAAATTACACAAAACCTAGATATTGAGTTTTATTAAGCAGAAAATATATACAAATGTAAGTTCGATTGTGACAGTAATAAAGAACATTAAAAAGAACAATATAGAAAATAATATTTACATTTATGGCAAATGGACAGTATTATATCACAATCTTTTAAATATTCTTTCCGCTTTTTAGTTGTACCCTATTCATATGAAGTGTTATGTTTGTATCATTATCTTCGATTACTATCAATATTTATTTATCATCACTATGACAGATAATCATATTTGACACCGACGTCCATTTTCAATGTTCAATCTACGGACAGATTTGGTATGGAGATTGAATTTTGACCTAAGTATTATCAGTTAAGAGTTAATGTTAAATGTCCATCGTTAGTAACCAAATCTATCTGTAGATAGAATATTGAAACCGGCCGTTAAGCGACTAATCGGCTTATGTTTTCAAATCCCCACCAGAGGGAGCTGCAGAACATACTCCGGATGAGTGGCACGTTGGAGCAAAAGATGGAGACTTTCCTGGCAACGGGAAACGCCCCATCGAACAACGTCAACCTCGCCCAGTACAAGGGCTTGACGATAGTGGCCGAAAACATCAACAGGATGCGTTACATGTCCCACTTTAAGTGAGTACCTCATATGTGTCTCTCCATCATTTGTCTTTTGCCTCTTTCTCCCTTTCTACGCGTCCCACGTTAAGTGAGTACCCCACTTTGTGTCTTTCCATCCATTGTCTCTTTCGCGATTTCTACGTGTCCGTGTGGGGTTGGTTTATCGGTGTCCACCTTCAGGGCGATCCATCGGGGCTCGTTCTTCATGGAGATGAGGACTACCGAGGCTCGTCAGCTCCTACCGGACGCGTGGGGCTTCGTGTGTCCGGTGCACACGCCGGACGGGGCGCCTTGCGGCCTCCTCAACCATCTGACGGTCACCGCTCAGGTGAGGAACCCCCCCCCCTCTCCCTCTCCCTCCCACTCCCTCCCCCTACCCATCTTCTCTATCCATCCGTTTTTTCCCCGCCTCCTAGGTTGACCTATTTCTTATCACCTTTGTCTCTCCGCTCCCTCTCTACTCATACTGATCTTTCTCTCTCTCTCTCTCCTCTCATCTCCCTCTACCTCCTTCCGCTCTCTCTCAACCCACACTGGATCCGTCCCTCTCCCGTTCATCTCTTTACCCATTCTTCATTCTTCGTCACGTCTTCAAGAAGTAGACCTCTTCTTTATCCCTCTATAACTCTTTCCGCTCCCTCTCTAACTTGAATTAAATTCGTTAAATTAACAGTTAGTTAATTTCTACGATGATTAGAGTTTCAGAAACCGGGCGTTAGTTCAGTTAGATTTGATTGTTTATTTAATGATTTGACGATTATCCGCTTTTAGGTAACCCAACATCCGGAGCCCAGGTTGCTCGCGTCGCTGCCACGCGTTCTGGAGAAATGCGGTGAGTCTTCACTTTATGGTCAAAACATGTCTACTTTTCGTACCCCCAATTGCTATGGAAGTCAATTTCTGTGCAATCATTACCAAGTCCGAAGTAAACTGTGATAATAAACAACGGGCTCGCTTCTTTTCTTCCATTTTTAGGGTTCCGTACCCAAAGGGTAAAACGGGACCCTATTACTAAGACTCCACCGTCTGTCTGTCTGTCTCTCTGTCCATCTATCACCAGGTTGTATTTCTTGAGATAAACAACGGTTCTTGAACCGTGATAGGTTAGTTAGACAGTTAAAATTTTCACAGATGATGTATTTCTGTTGCCGCTATAACAACAACTACTAAAAACATAAAAAAAAAAAAATATTTAAATGGGGCTCTCATGCAACAGACACGATTTTTTTGTCATTTTTATAGATAATGGTACGGTGCGCGAGTTCTCACTTAGCCGATTTTTTATTTTACAAAAAATTTCGTTTAATAACTATTTAACTCAAACTAATTAAGAGTATATTTAATTATCGAGGAACATGACGAACTAAACGTGGTTTTCGCCTGCCCATGGACATTTGCAACACAGATGCGTTGCCACCTCTTAATAATGTGGGATTCGGCTACCTCACTCACCGGGCGAAACGCAGAAGTGCAACACTTCTACATTACGCCGGTCTTCTGTGAGTTCTTGGTACTAACCCGGACGGAGCTGCCCATTCGTGCAACATCGCTGCTGCGTGGCCCCACCACCGTGATAGACATGTTGAAGAATGGATATTGGGCTCTGTCGATCCCTATCGTTGACAATTTGGCGTTATTTCCAGGAGTGGAGCCAATCGTCTCCGTGAGTGGCACGCCTTTATCCCACGACGAGTACAAATACCCCGTGTTCGTGGACGGCCGCCTGATGGGCTACCTGGCCGAGGACAACCTGGAGAAGTCCACCGCCTACCTTCGCACCCTGAAGATCAGGGGCGAGGAGATGCCGATCAGCACCGAGATCGTGGTGATACCAAAGAAGCAGGTGCGTGGATCCTGTTGTGGGAGTCCGATGTTGCGAGTTCATTATTAAAGACTAGCTGTGCTCGCGACTTCGTCCGCGTGGAATTTAAAATAAAAAAAAATCTAAAATAAAAGTAACCTAAGTTACTCCTTATTACATCAGCTATCTGCCAGTGAAAGTCCCGTCCAAATCGGTCCAGCCGTTTCAGAGGTTAGCCGAAACAAACAGACAGTTAGACAGACAGGCAAAAAAAAAAATGCTAGTTTGGTATATGTACCGTGTATACATCCATATGCATTTAGTAAAAAGCGGTTATTTTAATATTACAAACAGACACTCCAATTTTATTTATCTGTATAGATTAAGATAATATATTCTTTTTTATGTGTGAAACTATATCTTTTTATTGTGTTGACTCGAATCCTTGATTTATTTGTACACCCAACAGGGACTATATACCACAGTATCCGGTATAATTTTCAACTTGCTAGGTCCACCCGTACCTTGGAAAATCGGTGGTGATTATGTACCAATTGTGTTATAGCTGTATAATTTGTATGTACTGAACCCTCGGCGTTCGATCGACTCGCGCTTGACCGGTCACCGTTTGCTTTAAGATCTGTGCCCAGTACGCGGGCGTGTTCCTGTTCACGAGCGAGGCGCGGATGATGCGGCCGGTCATCAACCTCTCCAATGGCCAGCTGGAGCTGATCGGCACGATGGAGCAGCTGTACCTGGACATCGCGGTCACCCAGGCCGAGATATACAAAGGTATGCGGGCGTCCCTTTCGCTCGCGCGCGCTCCACCGCGCTCCATCCGCCTAGTTGTGTTGCCGTTTCATTCGCACAACTTTGTCTCGACGGACGTCTCTTTCACTCGCGCACGCTTCAGCCGCTTAGTTGTGTTGCCGTCTCATTCGCACAACTTTGTTTCGACGGACGTCCCTTTCACTCGCGCACGCTTCAGCCGCATAGTTTTGCCGTTTCATTCGCACAACTTTGTCTCGACGGACGTCTCTAATCCTCGCGCCCGCTTCAGCCGCCTAGTTGTGTTGCCGTTTCATTCGCACAACTTTGTCTCGACGGACGTCTCTAATCCTCGCGCCCGCTTCAGCCGCCTAGTTGTGTTGCCGTTTCATTCGCACAACTTTGTCTCGACGGACGTCCCTTTCACTCGCGCACGCTTCAGCCGCATAGTTTTGCCGTTTCATTCGCACAACTTTGTCTCGACGGACGTCCCTTTCACTCGCGCACGCTACAGCCGCTTAGTTGTGTTGCCGTTTCATTCGCACAACTTTGTCTCGACGGACGTCCCTTTCACTCGCGCACGCTTCAGCCGCATAGTTTTGCCGTTTCATTCGCACAACTTTGTCTCGATGGACGTCCCTTTCACTCGCGCACGCTTCAGCCGCATAGTTTTGCCGTTTCATTCGCACAACTTTGTCTCGACGGACGTCCCTTTCACTCGCGCACGCTTCAGCCGCATAGTTTTGCCGTTTCATTCGCACAACTTTGTCTCTACGGACGTCCCTTTCCCTCGCGCACGCTTCAGCCGCCCCCTTGTGTTGCCGTTTCATTCGCACAACTTTGTCTCGACGGACGTCCCTTTCACTCGCGTACGCTTCAGCCGCATAGTTGTGTTGCCGTTTCATTCGCACAACTTTGTTTCGACGGACGTCCCTTTCACTCGCGCACGCTTCAGCCGCTTAGTTGTATTGCCGTTTCATTCGTACAACTTTGTCTCGACGGACGTCCCTTTCACTCGCGCACGCTTCAGCCGCATAGTTTTGCCGTTTCATTCGCACAACTTTGTCTCTACGGACGTCTCTTTCCCTCGCGCACGCTTCAGCCGCCCCCTTGTGTTGCCGTTTCATTCGCACATCTTTGTCTCGACGGACGTCCCTTTCACTCGCGCACGCTTCAGCCGCATAGTTTTGCCGTTTCATTCGCACAACTTTGTCTCTACGGACGTGTCTTTCCCTCCCGCACGCTTCAGCCGCCCCCTTGTGTTGCCGTTTCATTCGCACGACTTTGTCTCCTCGATTTCATTTTAAATTTATTGAAAACTATTTTCTACTTCTTACTTCGGTTATCTATAAAAGCGTGTTTTTTTTTAGTTTTTTTTTTTTTTACTATTATTTATTACTTATCGTTGACAAGAATTATAATGGTTAATTTGCTTGACAATTAACGAATCAAATTCATCTTTAGCTTTGATTGGCGTAGTAGACACTGAAATGCCTCTTGCGCCAGAGGGTGTGGGTTCGATCCCCACTATTGCAAATATTGTGTCAAATATCTCCTTAAGCATTTGTACATTTGACACTAGCGACCCGCTTCGGCTTGCACTGGTGCAATGTATTATAAATATAAACCTTCCTTTTGAATCACTCTATCTAGTAAAAAAAAAAAACCGCATCAAGATCCGTTGCGTAATTTTAAAGATCTAAGCATATATACAGACAGTGGGACGTCTTTGTTTTATACTATGTAGTGATTGCCGAGTGTCAACCTGCCTCGTGGAATTGTCATGTTGTCTCTTTTCAACTCCGCTAATAGCCATAGCTATATTGTTCGATGGGTGAAGTAGACCTAACCTCCATATCCTCGCAGGCAGAACCACTCACTTGGAGCTCTCGAAGTCCGCCTTCATGAGCAACCTGGCCCAGTTGGTGCCGATGCCGGATTGCAACCAGTCGCCCAGGTGAGCCCTCGCCCCGTGGCACCTAGTGGCAGTTCCGTTGCCAACGTTGCAATCACGTTCAATGCCACACTATGCGGGGACGCGAAAATGTGAATTGTTCGTGTATATACTATAGGCACCCACAAGGTTTCGGTTGCAGTTTAGTTGCCAACGTTGCAATGGTGCTCCCCAGTTACCTTACTCAGCAGTAACGCTAAACTATGAATACTTCTTTTTCGAAGGTCTTCTGTGAAGTTATGACGCATGGGTAAGGAAAGGTATTACCTATGTGACGGTGGTCAGTCATTTTACAAGTGATATTTCTGTACGAAGCTGAAATTAGCTCATTGTCTCTTTCCAGAGGTCGATCTACAATATCTATTGCTGTGTACTGTGCATTACATAATGTTTATTTTATTTGTGAATGTGCACACAAGGAACTCTTTCAATACATTTTTATAACCTTCTTCTCTGCGAATAATTTGCCATTACACACATAAAAATACCAGATATACTCATAAATACGAGCTGTTGTTCGTCAGTTCGTCGCGCGTGCGTGTGTGTGCGTGTGTGAATGAGTGAGTTTTCAATATGTGTACGATGATTCGGCCTCGCGGAAGTTTTGTATAAAACAGGAGATATCAATATATAGATACAGGTATAAAAAACAGACATATATCGTAGCCATGTATAGTAACAAAACATTCCAAGCCCCACCAAAGTACTCCTGATAACTGGAAGCCACGCTATCGGTCGCCAGGAACATGTACCAATGCCAGATGGGCAAACAAACGATGGGCACGCCGATCCACACGTGGTGCACCAACGCGGAGACCAAGTTATACCGGCTGCAGACGCCAGCCACGCCCCTCTTTCGGCCGACGCATTACGACAACGTCGGCCTCGACGATTACCCCTGCGGCACGAATGCCATCGTGGCGGTCATCTCCTATACGGTAAGCGGTTCATATCCTCCCACTTTCTCAGCTATTTGTCCCCTTCCAATGGCACGGTGTAAGTAATATCGCCGGGATTCCACTAGACTAATAGAATTACTGGGCATTCAATTTTTTTGTTTATAAGTTTTATGAGAATAGTCCTAACATCGCCATCATGTTCTTCACCCAGTATATCTATAGAAATAAAGGCAAATTAAACGGACATAGAAATATAATCGGAATCAAGTCATCAATTATCTAAAATTAAAAATTATTTCCTAGTGTTTACTAGTCTGGATTTGATTTTTTTTTCGAAGTCTATTGTGGCCCCGGGGCTGTAGCCCCAGTTGCCGTCTCTCAAATCCGGCCCTGGAAATTTCCCACACTTATAGTCTATACACAGAGTAGTAGTAGTAGTCTATATATAGAGAAGTAGTACAGAATGTTATTAATATTTTTTAAAAATATGCATAAAAAACACCTCGCCACCTCGCTCACCAGACGATACGCACAAGTCCAACACTCCCACTTCCCCGGTCTTCTGTGAGGTCGTGGTACTTACCTGGTACCTGCCCATTCGTGCAACACCAACTGTTGCCCTACCAAAGAAATGTCCAGCCATGTTGCTGTGCCGGTCTGACGATAGCCCAACCTCGCTGCAGGGCTACGACATGGAGGACGCGATGATAATAAACAAGTCCGCCTACGAGCGCGGTTTCGCGGCCGGCACGGTCTACAAGTCGGAGTTCGTGGAGCTTCGCAGCGCCGGCAGCTACTTCTGGCGGGACCCTACTAAGGCGGACCTCGCCGCCTACTTGGACCCCGACGGTCTGCCGCCGGTGGGGGCCCGTGTTCGACCCGACGACCCCTTCTACAGGTAAGCCCTTGACGAACTTTCCCCTTCCGCGGCGAGGGAAGCGGAGGTACGATTTTACTGCGTTCGCTACCCTGCCGAAACACCGCGAAGTTATTACTGTACACGATGCTTTACTGAAAAAAAAAAAAATCTAAAAATAAATAGACTGATAAAAACTAACTTTAAACTAATTTTTTCTTATTGAAAATAGTACCGTGGATCAAAACGTTGTAGTCGTAGTATAATATTGCGATTAAAATACTAATAGCTACTGGGACGCGATTGTGGCACAGTATAATTACGCGATTCCTACAGCTACTGGGACGCCGAGAAGAGCCAGTTCTCGATGTCCCGATACCACGGCAAAGAGGAGGTGTTCGTGGACAGCGTCCGCCTCTGCGGGGATTTCTCTCCACGCAGTCCCAGGAAGGCGTGCATCGTGCTCAGGATACAGGTGAGCGGGCTGCCCCTGCCCACCCCCATTAGCCAACGCACCGTGCACTAAACAGAAGCGGCGGCGAATCGTAACTCGTCACGTAAAACCGGTCCTCCATGCTACTAACTACCGGTTGCTAATGCATCAATCCAATACCAACCGGTCCTTTGTACGGTTAGCAACTCCAGTTTGGTGTAAATCTCCAAAAAACCCGAGCGCGCCTCACTGTAGGTGTTAGGTAACGTGACGTCTCGTCTCGGTAATGAGCAACGTTTACACGTTTACATGCTTTTTTTTATGTGAAAAGTTGCGGACGACGAAAGACGGTTCACCTCATGTTAAGTGAATACCGCCGTCCATGGACATCTGCTACATCCGAGGGTTCCAGATGCGTTCACAGCCTTTTGAATTTGGGCTCCGGCCACCACACTCACCAGACGAAACGCCAAAGTAGTTCCACTTTACGCCGGTCTTCGTGGTACTTAAATGTGCAAAAACTTTCAGCGCTGCGGAATTCGAACCTTCGTCTTTCTGTTACGCGGCCACTAGCTTAATTAGGCTAAGCGACCGATGACCGATTATGGTGGTTGATTGCCGCACGGAGTGAAAAACGTGTTTAAAATGTTAAATATTTGGGGGCATCCCATACAAAATTGGTTATCGTCCTTTATTGCACATCAACGACATCTATAAAAGCGGGAACCGAATGGCAACCTAACGGAAAGGGCCTATTATAATGTCGAAGAATACATTGATAATTGTGAGTGGAAATGACTCTTGCTCCTCGCTTTGAAGTCCTTCGGCTGCTGCTGATTTTATACCTAAATAATTTTGTATACTTTCAGAGTTTCTTGTCGGTTTTTCTTTGGACAAGTCTAGTTTAGTGACCGGTTCACTAAACTAGACCTGTCCAAAGATAGAAGATAGTTTTTGAAATGCAATAAGAGCGTAAAAGAAGCCTATATTGAATAAAGGAATTTTTATTGGCGTTTTAATGGGTTTATGTGCCTACCGATGACATACGAAAATGGTTCTCGTAACGAATGCGTTTTATGTGGGTTAACCGATGACACATGAAAATGGGCCCCGTATATAATGGGTCTTTTGTGGGCTGTGACCGTATGGAATGTGTTTCATGTGGGCCCCCCCTCCAGCGCAACCCGACGGTGGGCGACAAGTTCGCGTCGCGCGCCGGCCAGAAGGGCATCTGCTCGCAGAAGTGGACCGCCGAGGACCTGCCCTTCACCGAGTCCGGCCTCATCCCGGACGTGCTGTTCAACCCGCACGGCTTCCCCTCGCGGATGACCATCGCCATGATGGTCGAGTGCATGGCGGGGAAGGCGGCCAGCCTGCACGGCCACGTGAGTCGCGCCGAGCTGTTTTTTATGGGTTCCGTACCCAAACGGTGAAAAAAGACTGCTGAAATTTTCCCAGATGATGTGTTTCTGTTGCCGCTGTAACAACAAATACTAAAAAACAGAATATAAAAATATATATATTTTATTTTTGTACAACAGACATGATTTTTTCCCTCTTTTTATAGATAATATGAGTGAGCGCGAGTCGACGCTTGGCCGGTATTTTTAAGTGTGAGAAGGCTGCGGAATATGATGACTCCGTGGCGTGGTTCTCCGCACGGGACTCGTCTTTGCGTGGCTCACGGATAGTATTTTTTATATGGGAAAAGGAGGCAAATGGTCATGCGGGTCACCTGATGATAAGCGATCACCGCCGCCCATGGACATTGATTCGGATCTGAGCGTTTGTCCACGTGAAATTTATGTTCCTTTCAACACAGGTACGTCTCCTAAAGTAAGGGCATTGTTTCAAAAAAAAAAAAACAGGGTAACGAGCCGGAGGTTCACCTGACGTCAATCAATATAACCGCCGCCCATTGCCATTTGCAACACCCACACGGTTGCGGATCGGTTGCCGCCTTTTAGTAAAGTGGGCCCCGGTTAGCTTGATCGTTAGTTCATAGCAGACGAAACGCAGAAGGGTAAAGCTACCTCTCTATCGTAACCAGATTGGCATTAACTCGCATCGTTCGACACCGGTGTGTAATAGTGAAATGGCATACAAGTGGCGCCATCTATCGAAATGGGTTTGAATTAATCGCATCGCCGGACATAGGTGTCTAGTGAAATGGCATACGAGTGGCGCCATCTATCGAAATTGGGTTTGAATTAATCGCATCGTCGGACAACGGTGTCTAGTGAAATGGCATACGAGTGGCGCCATCTATCGAAATGGGTTTGAATTAATCGCATCGCCGTACAACGGTGTCTAGTGAAATGGCATACGGGTGGCGCCATCTAACGAAATTGTTATCAACCCGGCAGGTGCACGACGCGACCCCGTTCCGGTTCAGCGAGGGCGACACGGCCATCAACTACTTCGGGCGCACCCTGGAGGCGGCCGGCTACAACTACTACGGCACGGAGCGGCTCTACAGCGGCGTGGACGGCCGCGAGATGGAGGCGGACATCTTCTTCGGCGTCATACACTACCAGCGGCTGAGGCACATGGTGTCCGACAAGTGGCAGGTGACGGTCGCCGATTGTTTCGGACGCATGTTGGCATGTACACGTGCTGCTTATGTATACATGTTAACATGTGCTTGGAAATGTTTACACATTTGTGTACCCATGTTCACACTGCACAGTTGTTTTAACGTCTATATTTATATAGACCTAACGCTCCTATACCTATACGCACTTCAATTTATAATTTACCTCTGTTTAAGCGTTTGCACTAACGAAACATACATATACGTCTAGATGGTAGTTAATGTTATTACTAAGGTTTGATTTGATTGTTGCGGTAAATGATTTCAATTCAGTCGGGGGCCAATTAATTTAACTACAAGAGATTGCCGCCTCGCTAACTAGCATTTCTTGTCTCGAACTCTTTTGTAAAAAAGATTGTGTGAACGCGACACAAACAGTTGTGCTGCACTTGTGTGCGATTTGTGTCCTTTTCAATTTTTGAAGCTCTCTGTGGCGCAAAAATCCTTCCTTAGTGAAGAGTTGTTTTTAAAAATGTATGATCCACAGACCCATGGAAAAAAAATTCAATGCAATGCAACACCGTAGAGATACAGAATCTCTCAGCCATCTGATTACTTGCACAACTTGCAAATCTCTCGGCCATCTGATTACTTGCACAACACGTACGACAAAGGTTAATTATAAACTTGTATGTACTTTTAATTTAGTTACTTAAATGTTAACATGCACATCGCGACCGTAGTGTACTGATTGCGAGGTGTTACACACATGCACGTTGCAATGTAAGATTATTCGACCAGTGTTTTAAAGTTGCGGCCTCCGTGTTTTAATCGGGGATAATTAGTAATCACGTGATAGATGACGCTGTGGAGTCAAGGTCAGGTTCAGGTTCGGTGCCGGTCGTGGGTTCGAATCCACACGAGATAACTATTTGTGTATTAAGTTATTTGTGAAAAACTAAAACAAATAAGTAATGCATAATGACTGTGGTAGGACCAAGCAACAGTGTTCGCTGTTGCACGAATGGGCAGGTCCGTCAGGGTTTGAGCCACGACCTCACAGAAGAACTGCGTGAAGTAGAAGTGTTACACTTCTGCGTTTCGTCTGGTACTTACCAGACGAAACGCAGGTAGCCGGGGCCCACATTATTAAGAGGCCGCAACGCATCTGCAACCGTACGGGTGTTGCAAATGTCCGTGGGCGGCGGTTATCACGTAAAATCAGGTGAACCGCTATCTCACATAAAAACAAACGTAAAACGATACAATACAACGACAAAGTTGTCCCAGACTGAGGGATTTTCGAAAGGGTCGAAGTGGTAACCGTTGCGCACTAAAACACCGGCCACTTGTTGTACCAGGTGCGAACCACGGGCGCGGTGGACGCGCTGACGCGGCAGCCGGTGAAGGGCCGCCGGAGGGGGGGCGGCGTGAGGCTGGGCGAGATGGAGAGGGACGCCCTCATCTCGCACGGGGCCGCCTTCCTGCTGCAGGACAGGCTGTTCCACTGCTCCGACAAGACCGAGGTGGGACTTAGCCTTTCTCTTTAGCGACGATGCGGACATTTGTTTAAAACTCTTACATGATATTGCAGACAGTTTAGTAAAATATAACATGGCTTTTGTAGGTTTATTATTCATTCTTACCGATATAGCTTTCAAACAAAAGAAAAACCGCACCATAATCGATCCAATCGCTTTTAAGCCACGATGCCACAGACACACAAAGTGACAAGTCAATGTTGTAACACGTAGAGGGGTTAAAAACCGGCCAATTGCGAGTCGAACTCGCGAAAGGATCCGTACATTTATATAAGATAGGACATTATCTGTAAAAACGCCAAAAAATCACGGCTGTTACATAGGAGCCCCGCTTAAACATTGTTTAGTATTTATTGTTATAGCGGCAACAGGAAGGAAATACATCATCTGTGAAAATTTCAGCTGTCACGGTTCATGAGATACCTACAGCCTGGTGAGTGGTGACTGACGGACAGACAGACATTGGAGTCTTAGATATAGGGTCCCGTTCTACCCTTTGGGTACGGAACCTGTACGCTATATATCCTTTCCAGGCAATAATCTGCACCAAATGCGGCACCCTGCTCGGCCCGATGGCCACCAAGTTCGACGGCAGCAAGGAGGGCTGCCGCCTCTGCGGCCAAGGGAATCTCGCCCCTATCTCCATTCCGTACATCTTCAAGTTCTTCGTCACACAACTCGCCGCCGTCAACATCAACGTCCGGATAAGCTGCAACGGCAGCTTCGCCATCAAGGGCTGTTGACATTGATGAGCTTGTACCCAAACATTTGCTATAAATATACGTGACATATATAAATTACTGTTTTCTTCATTGGCTGCACATTGTGGCCAAGAATTTGTCCTATGATTTAGAAAAAACTATTTTGTTATAATATACAGGGAGACTTTTTTAAAGGTTCCAAAATTTTTACAGGAGGTTCAGACTCGGTAGTATAATCGTTTATTGAAATAAAAACAAACTTTTTATTTTTTCAAAAAAATTACCATTCTATTCCCTAAAAAAAAACAGAACTTGTTGACAACGCGGTAGTCATTCATAAATATCTAAATTTTACTGTTCACGCACACAACGAACTTGTGTGCGTGTTAGTTATTAATGATCGGGCGTAAAATAAATGAGTTGCGTATAAATCACGCATGAGATAAGTTCAAATGAATGTATTTAATTAATTACGAGTGATTTTAAATATTTATAATTTTTTATATAACATTATTTATGTCTAGAATTTGATATAAAAAAATGGATACACTTAGAAAAACTTCCCTGTATACATATAAATAATTCGTACATTATTTGAGAGTACTTAAAATAAAACCTCAATTTTTAATTTAATTTTATTAGTGGTTAGGGAATGATAAATGGATTTACGAATTATTTTCCTAAGCTATTATAATAATTGAAATCCCGTTTATATTTTTGATTGAAGTGGTTATTAACTACAAGAAAAACAACGTGTAAACACTGAGAAAATAGTAATTCGATTTTGAGTAAAATTGAAGCGTCTTAATTCTAGACCACTTCAGTTAGAAGGCAGTAATAAAAGAACAATTGTAAATGACGATGTGCCATAGAGGAAGAGAAAGCTGCAAAGTGAAAAATCAAAACATTCAATTTTTTAAGTTCTCTTTGTCTTTACATTTTGCAGTACACAGTGAAGATGAAAGAAAAAAACTTTTTTATTTTTATAGATTTATTTCACGTAACTTAGCCTAGTTTTAAAATTATCACATCTTGTAGCCTACTCCTGTATGTTACTGGCGTACAGTATATGACTTACTAGCAAACTATAATGCTCGCAAACTTAGCGTAAAAATTAGGCTACACTAAGCGCAACCGATACACCATTTGTGTAACCGATACATTATTTGATTATAAAGTAGTAACTATCTTAAACTGCCTTAAAGTTGTTGTTTAATATTTAGCTAGGATAGTTCGTCCGGTTAGGTAAGACCAACTTCGACAGAGGTCAACAGGCGAATCCAACTCGGATTTCTATGTATCTGTATTGATTTACAGTCGGAAGATATCTTTTTGGTTGGTCAATGAAACAATGATAATGTGAGTCAGTTATTAACACTAACAATTAATTATACTCAAATTATAAGAAAACATTAGATATGACGATCAAAGCACAATGTTGCTCAGTCCTCGTCCATTGGTTCTTCCTCTTTTTTCTCCTTCTTCTTCTTTTTCTTCTTCTTCTTAGCGCTGGCGTCAGCCTGCTCTTGTTCCTGCAACGCCTCTTCCATCGCCTGTTTCATAACATCAATGTTCTTCATAGGGATGTCTCCCGTCTCATAGAACTTCAGCCGGTCTTCTACCTGCTGTCGGAGCTTCTCACCGAAAACTGTTGTTTGCGTCTCTGGGAAGAGGATTAATTAGCTGTAAATATGTATTTTATCTTATTAGTACAAAGCCCTGTTATAGGGGTGAGCTACCATACGTTCGACAATCAAGATGTCTTATTAAAAGAGTGCTGCTACACACAGTATTATTTGCAACAAAGATAATCTACCGATTACGACAATATACAAATATTCATTATTGAATTATTTGAAGACACTTCAAATTCTTCAAATCAGATGAAGGATCTTCAAATTATGAAGCGAGTTCTATTTAGTTTCATTTTTTTTTCAACCTTTAATACCTTAATATATTAAACATTAAATATTAATTTTATCCTTTTTTTTTATTTCCTAAACTTGATTATTATTAACTCAAATATGACATAGATTTACTTTAGCTACAATGTATCATATAAATATTCATAATTTAAATAGACCTAAAATTAATAGGAAGCAACAATTTATTTACAAAAAGTTGTTGGACCTATGTAAAAGATACTGTTCTATTTATTTCTAATTTTGTGCAACAATTAATAGTAGATTGAATCTGAAGGCTTGCAAAGTTTATTTTAAGATGTCATTATTGCGTATCATATGCGATCGTAGCGTAACTATCTGAGAAGGGTGGTATCGAATACCACCAAGGGAGGGGCAAGCTTACGACAGTTTAATTTATCAAGTACTAGCGACCCTCCTCGCGGCTTTGCACGGGTGCAATGTATGAAACATATGAACCTTCCTCTTGAATCACTCTATCTAATAAAAAAACCGCATAAGATCCGTTGCGAAGTTTTAAAGATATAAGCATACACACAGACAGACAGTGGGACGACTTTGTTTTATACTATGTAGTGATGCACAGCAAAGGGACATTTACATTTCAAGTGACATTTTACCACAGTCACTCACTTGTTTTGCCTTCCCGGAATCCCTCCACTAACACTTAAACTTTATGCAATGGTATTAAAGTTCAAATTGACTTTTAAGTATTATTATGAATCTTTTGTACAGGAATATAGAAAAGTGTTGCCTTTAGACTTTTTCAGGCTATTTTTAATTTTTTTTCTTTCATAAGAACCTTCTGATAATAACAAACACAACAAAAAAAAAAATCGGTCCAGCCGTTCACGCGTGATGGCGTGACCGAGGGAAATAGGGATTCATTTTTATATATATAGATTTCGTATCTCTCATATATATAATTATTTAGATTCAAGTGAAAATTTAATGTCTTATAAATTTGTAGCTATGTACATTACACATATATCAATAGTTGAGCAATGTGATTAAGTATCATACGCGTTTACTGTAGCACATTTTTATTACCGCAAAAGACGGCTTTTGCAATAGATCAAGATGTGCATGTGGTAGTTCAAATTTTCTTGATTTAAAGATTTTTTCATTGGTACTTGATGGTAGACCAGTGCCAAAATTATTTAAATGTGTGTTGACACCCAAAATTATTCTGCTTTTACCCGGTAAGTTGCACAACTAATTTTCTTACTAAATAATATTGACTTTTTGTCCACTAATAAACCACACTGGAATTGGGAATTAACATATAAGGGCTTGGCCATTGATCATATGATGGTTTTTAGCATTTAATCACCTTCTCCTTCCTGGTGAGGTTCAAGACTAATTCCGTGATTTTTTTTTACCCTTTTTTCCTCGAGTACAACCGTCCAGCCCTACACTGGTAGAGACATAAATTCATACCGGAGAAACAGTCGATCCTGGATGCGATGGAACACTTGTTGGCCAGGTACCGGCTGATGCGGCCCTTGTTCTTGAGGCCCGCGCGGCCGATGAAGGTGGAGTGGTAAAGGAGGCCGTACTTCGGCGTGTTGGAGCGGGTCTTCAGGGCGCGGAACAACGCTTTCTCTGCGCCTGTGCACACAAAAGGGCCTTCGTAAAGTAACAATCATGTTAGAGTTTGTAGAAAAGATTGTCGAAAAGCTTTTAGTCGCCGCGGGAATCTAATCCACGTCTTCGGGATTCACGCCCAGATGCCACTATGCTGAATGGCTGATTGCCACGTGATGAAAATATAAACCTATTTTATCTATATTATTCGCATTATAAGTAATGCGTTACAGCACAAAATCAATTACAGATTTTACAACGATAATTCGAAAGAGAGATGTCAATTGCTAATTGATATTAAAAATTTTATAGTGCTAATCTCTGCACTTATGATGAAACATTAAAATTTATAGAAAAAACATTCATATTCTAGGCAAAGGTGCCTTCTTCATTTTTTATGGATTACACTAATAAATTTAAGAGCCAATCCTGCAACACACCTACATCTAAGCTATTATAACTAAAATACAGACTTAACTACGGAGATATTGTCTACCTCACCTAAAATCTGCAAAGTGGATGCCGGATACTTGGCGAGGCTGGTGAGCGAACCAGCCTTAGATATGAGCCTAGCACCAACTTGGTCCCCAATAAGAGTTGTAAGGTTTGGTGCCACTGAATTCATCTTTGTGTGCAGATACTCAGCAATTTGTTTCCTGTTGAGAGAAATTAGATTTATGTTATTCAATCTCTACCAACAAAATTGCTGTACTGGTTCATTTTTACATAGATATTAATTCTTACATATCAACCAAGGTTAGTTCAATATACATATTTGATGTTGTTAACAATATTGGAACTAGTGTAGCGATTTCTTATTTTCCATAATTATAATAATGCCACAAATGAAGTCAAAAACATGATTTTTATGCAACTACAAAAAGGTAAAGATAGAATGGAAATGTTCCATGACTTTGTAATACAAAATATTTCTACAAATTTTGTTATTACATCATGTACTTTATTTAGCATGTTTTTATGACAGCAAGCAAGTATGCTTACTATAGATCAAGACATGCCAATAACTGCTACAAGTTTCCCCTAAGTGTCATAAGTTACATAAAGTTAACAATTGCTTCACATAAAATAACAGCACTATCGTAGATATTGATAAAAATTCACATAATGTTGTATTTTAGTGGTAGCATTGAAGTGACATGTACCAACCATATAAAGTACCTATAATACAGGTACAATATTAATTGCAGCACTTACAAATAAATAAGAAACAAGTTGTATTATTTAATATAACCAGGTTAAAGATTCTAGTCCACTAGTTAATAATCAACAATATATGAATTACAAAATAAAAATGAGATTTAATATAATAATTAATATATAATATTGGTATTCATTTCTTTCCCTTTCTCCCTAAACCTGTGTAGAAAAATCATGCATTTACCAAGGGATTCCATTTGGTTTGTTTTGGATGCACAGTTTATTTTTATTGTCAAATATAAGTAATATAATAAATATATTATTTATTTTATTATACTATATTTATATTATTTTTTTAATCCCATTGTAATAAGAAACCAATTATTATACAGTGTAAAGGATAAATAGTGATACCTGTAGTTACTGAGAGCCACTACCCTTCCGGCAAACATTTGTATGTTTATTAAGTCCACTGGTGAAATATCCATCCCCATTGACATCTTTGACGCATCAATGATAGCTTGGGCCTTCTCCGAGTCTCCCAGTATCTCAGTGAGCGGCTCTAACGACTCCTCGCTTAATGACTTCCTGTCTTTGACAAACTCTGCACACTTGGTGTAAAGATGGTTGTCCGGTACGATGCTTACAAGCTCTGGGAAATGGTATGAATACCATTCTCTGTAAAAAGAGAACTAACATGTCCAAAATACTTATAAAACATGTTAAGTTTGTAATTTCATACAAATTCCTCTTGACATCTTTTTAGTGCCTACTAATGCCTACACTTAATTATTACTCACTAAACTAAATGCAGAATTTATGACACTTCCAATTCATGGCGATCTTCCATGAGGTGTACTTAGCAGGATGGTAATGTCCATTCCTGCAACAGCCACAGCTGTTGCATGGCCCATAATAATTATTTGACAATTTTACACATAATTTTTTAAATTTATTATAATTGGAACTTTTACAAGACCTTGTCCAATCAAGCTTTATACAGTCAGAAAAATATTACTTGCTAAAAATACAGTATTCTTGTTTATAAATGATTTTATGTGTATAAATACCTGATCCTCATTGAGAAGGTGTTAATGTCTTTATCCAGTTGATCCAAAAGTGCAATAGACTGAATAATCATGTTGTCCACTCTGTGAACATTGAACTTCACCCTGGCCCGGGAGTATGAATGCCCCAAGCCCAGCTGCGCCACACTGCATGCTTTCAGGGTCAGACCTTTTATGAGCGCATGGAAGTGGTGTCGAATACCTGGAAATTAAAAATCAGTTAAAATAAAACTCATGTCTTTGTAGAGGAATTACACGAATCTTCAAACTTATGATCCTAATAAATTTAAGTACATGTTCAAAATATCATCACCTCTGAGAATTTCAGGTACAGCGCCGGTGTGAGAGCATGGTATCTCTAGTGCCTCACTGATTGCGGCGCCAAGTTTGGGGTCCGCAACACCCAAGGTGCATTTTGACCTCTTTTTGCGCTTTGGTAAGGCTCCTTCCAAGAATAAGTTAAGGTCTTCTGGCAATATTCCTGTAAAAGACATCATTTATTCAATATCATTGCCATGAATAACAATAGCTGTTAGGCCATTACCCAGGGAACCAAGTACAGGTGAGTAAACATAAACCCACAGAGAATGAGCCTTGTTATTTTCCAATTATAACTTACAATTTTAGGTAAAAACATTAAATTTACATCCTTATGCGCATTATTTCATAGTTGTTGTTCTTGTGTGAATGTTTATTATATGTCGATCAAAAACATGTGCATAAAATATGTAAAGAACTTACCTTCGGAAATAGCATTTATATTTTCTAACGCGACTACAGCAGATTTAAACGGCTGGAACCCTATTAGCGTGACCACAGAATTGAACCTTTGAAGGTCTGTTACCGATTCCTCAACTTGTGGCAGAAAGGCCGCTAACTCTTCGAATTCGGTGACGCGGAATAGGGCGAAGCCCGCGCTATGCTCATACAAGACGTATAGTTTACTCTGAAATTTGGGAATAGGTCTTAAAATTATTCATTAAAATAAAAATGATGATAGAAAACCTTGAATATTCACCATTTTATTATTTTATCTTCTACACATTATAAGTTTTATCAAGGGATAACAAAACACGTGTGTTTTGTTTAACCCCCGCTTTGACAATATTTTGAGGTTAGATTCTCGACTCGACATTTATAATGTCACATTGCGTTGCGTTACGTTATTTTAATAGAAGTCATAAAATTATGCTAAAATTATTATAATAGATATATTTTACTCGATTGGGAAATTAAAGGAACCCATTTAAAAATAAACTATATATATATATATATATATATATATATATATATATATATATATATATATATATATATTAATTAACCTAAAATAAATCAATGGTTCATGAAATCAGAATTGTCTTTCAGAATTAAATATTAAAATAATATATAATATATTAATACGTAAGCACGTTACGTTAGAATATTAATAATATATTGTAAATTTAAAAAAAGAAAATATTCAATTAAAATTTTTGTACTTTCTAAGCTTTTGTTATATCGTTGTGTACTATAACTTCAGCAGCAGTACAAATTAAAAAAAAAAACATTTTAACGGAATCGTTTGACAATTATTTTGAATTTAAAAAGTTGAAAACATGATGTTTTATGTAGGTATTAATATATTTGCCTTGAAAGTACATAAATATTGAATTTTAGGTTGATTTGTAACTGAGTAAGAATAATAAGTGCTATGTGAGTTTGTAAGTGAAAATCTACGATGGCGTCGATACTAAAGCAAAGGGATTTAGTTGTGACGCTTAAAAAGGAAACTCATTTGAATATTGGGATATTAAGTAAGCTTCACCCGATGTCCTCGGAGCTTTACAGACATATATTCAAAGAAAATGGACTTGAAAAACCCACACAGAATCAATTTAACCATCTGTCACATTATTTGGTGAATATCATCAATCCTCAAGTTATTTCATCTTTACCATGGCCATTATATGATACCAAAACCGAAAGGGCATACAGGAATGAGCTCGCTTATTTCATAGCCGATTATAGTAGCAAAGGGCTACTTTCTCCCATTATGTCGTCTTACTTGGTTAATCCCAGTTGTTACAAAGTAACCATCCTTATATTCCAACTATCTCAACTGGCCATTCAACGCGTGCTTGTATTAAAAATGAATAAAGACCGCCAGAGGAAACTTTATGATGAAGTCACAGACAAATTTAGGTCTAGTAAAGATGATGGATTTATTGACTACATAGAAAGCGCGACCCAAGTCATGCTTACCAAGTTTTCCAACTATATTAACAAAAGATGTACGTTAGAGAAGATAGCGGGCTTGTTTCGTAGTAGAATATCCAACATGGAGGCTAAATTAGCAGCGGCTAATGCGCAACACTATCTAAATAATTTAGTTACAACATACATTGATAAACATCACCCAGATGAAGCTACAGCTCAGGAGTTATTGAAAATCAACAACATTAAAGAGCCATGTGGATTTTTTGATCTGTGGTTAAACGAAGTTGATAGCATAACATGCCAGATTGAATCAAATTGGAATGATTTAAGTACACCTTTGTTGATTTCAGCCAAGTCAGCTTCCGAGAATAGCAAGGCTTTGATTGGTAGGCAAACTGGAGAAATAGACAGGAGTACATTTACCCTCGAGTATAATCCTGAAACAGATTCAATCTGCACAAAAGAGCTTGAGTGTAATGTAAACAGTGAACAGAAATACATCTTGAAGAATATCGAGAAAGATAACCGACTAAACTTTCCCAACTTAGTTCGTAGTTATGTCATAGCGATTTGTTATATTTTAAAGAACAATATGATTGGAGATGAGATTTATAAATTCAATGAATATTTAGATGGAGGAGTCAGAAGTTATTCGGAAATAACATTAGCAATGAAAATGGTAAATGAACGAGTGTTCAATGCAGAATCTAAGCTTCAGGTTAGTGAAGTGTTTCATTATTTTGATTATTACAGTGTGCAGTGCATTACAGATATACAGCGTGTCGTTATCATCGCGACAATAAATGAACATATGTCTAACGCTACTTGCCAATAAACATAAAAAATATTAACGTTAAAAAAATCCATAATTAAAAAAATAAATTTTTCAAACTAACTAATTAAGTAAAAAAGAAACAAAATTTGTAACATTCTATACAACTACAACTGATTCATACATTCCGTGACTTTTTCATTCGTTGTCACAGCGTCGCATTACAAGCCTCTCCTTCTAAGAGTATGTTTTGTCTCTTTTAAATTCATTCAACCCATTCATATGCTTTGTGACCTTTACAAATGAACTTTACGTTACAGGTATATGCATGTGTTCTAAAATTCTTTGTTTTGGAAAATTTAATAACTCTAAATATTGATGTTTATATGTCACAGTAATTCATTAGTTTTTTTTTATGAGAAAAGGTATTGACATGTATAATAATACCTATGGGAGGGTGGTTGCAAATGGTATTCTTTAGTTAGTAGCTTTGGTCTGAAAGCCAAAACTCAAGGTGACATGCTAATAAAACTATACAAAATCAACCAGCAACAAGATAGTAATTGAAATTATAGGTATTTGCAGTTTCTATAATGTTCATTTGAATATTATATTAAATGGAAAATAACTTTGATATTCCAGATTGTTCCTGTCAACCTAGAACAATCTCTATTATCAGAGTCCGTAGAAATCCCACCATTGCCTGATTTATCAAACCTGAAGACTCACAGAGATGGCCAATTTCTGTTTGAAACGTTCACACCATTAGGCCTTTCTAAACATCAATTCAATTTAAGGAGGAAGTCCAATTTAAATTTCATTAAACCCCAATCTAAGTCTCTACTGATCACACAATTTTCAGCCCCCAGGGATGATTTCTTAAAAACACTGATATCATGTAGAGTAAGCACATATGACAAACCAAATGCCAGTCAAAACCTTCATAATGTCTCTATAATGTCATACTCGAACAAAGTGAACGAAACCATAGCTGAGTGCTCATCCGGTTTCACGAAGCAACAAATCTCGAGGTTACTTTCAACTAAGAAGACAAGCAGTTCCAAAAAGTTTAAATACAAGACTGACAGACCAAACATTAGCATAAAGAAAGGTGGCCTATTCAATGAGTCCATTTCTTCCAACGAAAGCAGTGGACTCTTTCGTAGCTATTCATCGCCAAATCTATTTGAGAACAGAGAGAGAAGGCCTATTTGTAAGGGCAGAGCGAGAAAATTATCTATAATGAAAGAAGATAGTCCCGATAATATTTTAGAAGTGTCCGGTATTGTTGCTTTAGACAAAAATAGCAATTCTAGCACACCTCAAGGTATTTGTGGCTTAGACAGCGCAAAATTAAACATATCTAAAGAACCTATTGCACTTAAAGCTAACGGACCAGGAGATGTATCAAACAACGTTTTTAGTAGGGTACAATTTGATTTGGATAAGGAAATTGCAAATGGAAGTATATGCTTAAAAACATCACCTAAGGAACATAATAGTATTGAATTCCTGGAATTAGTGAAGACAGAAACACCCAAAGCCAACCCGCAGGTCATAAGGAAAACAAGCTCCTTGGAGAAGATTATAAACCGCTTTAAGAAGGTCCGTGCTAATGTTTTACCGTCGGAATCGTTCGAAACACCGAACATTAAAACGATTGTCGAAGAGAAAGAGAACAATTTCAATGCGGTAAATGTGGATGTGTTCACTGCAAACAAAACCCTATTGCCTGATCTAATAAGTCCGAGTTTCAGTGTGATACCAAAGAAAACCATCAGCAACTATTATGATGATTTTTGTCTGGATATGGACGATGAACCGCAGCCCAGGAGACCTAGAGAGAGCCTTGGAACCGTTTTGGGCGTCGACCACACATTCTTAGATCAGTGTGACCTAATTGACTGACAAATATATTACGTTGATGGAATAAGGAATAAAGAAGTGAGCTACTTCTTGGAACTATTTGTTTATTTTGCGTTTTTATAATAAGGTAAAGATACATTTCGCCTTAAATGCAAAGAAGGAATTTATGCATTTTAAATATAATTATTGTGTGCAGTTAACCGGTTATTTGGCTTCTTTTAGTGTATGAAAGTTACACCATAAGTGAACATGAACCTTTACTTCAGTGTGTCAAGACATGACTGGCAATTATTAAGTATTCAATATGGTTATTAAGTATTCAATATGGATAGAAAGAAATTGAACAATAAAAAAAATGTTTGTCAGGGAAAGTTCTTTGCTTTTAAATGTGAAGCTACTACATTTGGCAACACCGAAACACTATAAACAACAATCAAGGAGAGAAATCACATAGTTTGTTATTCTGTTAATATTAGTAAGTGATATAAATAATTTGGACAGTTGACAAATTATGATAATAACAATAATATACCTTTATAGGAGGGGAAATGGTTTCCATGAAAAAAAAAACTGTCAGTTGTTAAGACAGTAGAAAAATAATTGTTTCATATAATGAAAATTAATATTTTAACTAAACATTTCTTTCTAGAAACTACTTCTTAATGTATAAAAGTAATATAAGTAACATTAATACAGTCTATGGATTCCTAATTGAATGTTACTTCATTTTGAGATGAAGTAACAAATTCAAATGTTGGTTTGATTGATCAAAGAACATTTGAAAATAGTGTCTTATAAAAATTATTTATTCTACATTAGCAAAAGAGAATACGCCAGTTATTTAACTTATTGTAAATTTCAAAGGATAATCATTTCATCCCATATCACATATATTTGTATCATCATATTCATGAAACATTGTGTATTATATCCATTAAATCTTTCATTGCATAGTTTTTAAAAATTTCAATAAATAAAAACAGTTAACTGTTATATACCTTTAATTTTTTTATATTCCCAAGTCTTTTTACGAGGGTAAGTATATTCTTAGAACATCCCTAAAACTAGATTGATGGCCATTATGTGTATGGAAAGTGACTAAATTTTTGTATTTTCAACTTAATGTACTCGTAAAGTAGCTGTATGGAACAATTGTATCATTGTTTTTATAAATTCAAAACAGGCTTACGTCAAAGTCTGAGGTAAGTACATCAGATTTTTCAATTGGATTATACTATTATTTCCTAACCAATATTAATTAATTAGATGTTTTAATATTAGTAAAGAATTAAAAGCCTAAGGAATAGTTTTCGCACTTTTTTGTCCCTAATGAACATAATTATTGTTACACGTATTGACTTTGCCTTTTTATTTCGATTAATCGTTATACCACATTTTCGTTTTTTAAGTACTTAATCGATTAGTCATTTCAAATTTTCAAAAAAGGGATCAGAAATAAATCTCAGATCAAGACCATGATAATAACTATTTATTTATACTTTCATAAAACAATGAGTACACAGACAAAACATTTCTGCTAATTGAAATCATTTCAAAGATAAAATCGCGTCGTCTGATATATAAACTGGTTTTATTTAACAGCATATATTTGTGTAAATATAAAAAGTAATAATATTATGATATTAAATAAAAATAAAGTCTAACGCACGGTTTCTGAAACACTGATCATCGTACAAGTCAACTAATCAGCTGTCAAATGGATTTTCAAATGTTATTTGAGTTGGCAAAAGGATTGTTAAACTCTTTTAATTGATCATAGTGATCAATTCTTTGCAATCATTTCAAGCTGATTAGCTGACTTCTACGATGATCAGTTTTTCAGAAACCGGGCGTTAATAGCTTCGTAATTGAATAGACGATAATTACGTAGCCTCAAACTGTACATAATCAAATCCTGGGATCGGTCTCCTCCAATTTGACCATCTTCTCCGATACCTCCCAAAGCTTCCTCGCTCTGGCCATATCGCTGGCGCTGCTGGACAGCTCGCTCTCACGGCAATCGGAGAAGTACTTCCCGGTCGTCTTCAACAGACCGTCGTCCGCCGCGAGCATGACGGAAGTCTGGCAACCCTGTGCGGGGGTTTTAAAGAAGCCCTTTATAATCAGGGCCAGGGCCCAGCTGAGCGGTCGGGGCACCGACCTCCATATGCCCGTGTCAATGAGACCTGGATGAAGGCAGTTGGCGGTGACGCCCGTGCCGTCCAGACGCCGCGCCAGCTCCCTAGTGAACAGAATATTGGCTTCCTTTGAAACGTAATACAGATACGCGGGGAAAGAGTCAACCGGATTAGGATTGGTGGCGTCGAAAGAGCCGATGCGGTACAAAGACGACGCCACCACGACGACCCTCGACGGCGTGGACTTCTTCAGCAGCTTGATAAGGAGGTGCGTGAGGAGGAACGGCCCGTAGTGGTTGGTAGCCATCGTGAGCTCGATGCCGTCTACCGAGCGCCTCTTCGTGAAGCTCCCCGCGTAGCCCGCGTTGTGGATTAACACGTCGAGGCGCGTCTCCGACTTGATGACGTCGTCGGCGAAGGCGCGGATCGACGAGAAGGAGCTGAGGTCCAGCGCTTTCACAACGATGTTCGCGTTATTTGTCTCGGCAACGAGCTCCTCTGGAAACGATGGTTATCGTGATTAAAATGTAAATTGAACGCCTCGTTTCTCGCGTGCTTTTTTTACGAGGGTCCCGGGATACCGAAATATCAACCGTATAATATATATTTTTTTTATATGAGAATGTGGCAACGTGGTTTGCCGTGTGTGGGAATGTGGTTCAACTGATGTTAAGTGATAAACCTTTCAATAAATGGTCCTGGCTATATCACTCACCAAACGAAATGGAGAAGTATAACGATTCCACTTCATGCCGGTCTTCTGTGAGGTTGTAGTACTTACCCGAACGGACCATTTGTCCAACAGTGAGGGCTGTTGCCGGGCCCTATCACACTTAAAAAAGATCATATATCATTAAATATATAATAAAGAAGATTTTTATGTGCATGTTATCAGTTACCTAAATACAGGTACTAAGATCCAAATCACGCACTTTTTTATCCTTTTTCACTATTAAAATTATTCGATTTCTTGTGTTCATGAGCTCCGAAAAAGCAGTAGTAAGGTATTGTTCGTATGCTTGTCTATCTATGCCGCGTACTCGAGAATGCCCAAAACGCACGGAGGCCAATAAAGTGTTTCATTGTAGTTTTATGCCCTATGTTACTACTTGAATTTATTATTTTATTGTTATTTGGTACACAGAACAGCAAACAGTACAATAATCCATACAATAAATTAAATAAGGGCAACTTAACACTGCATGCTTCTATATCATTAAGCAATATTAATGTATAAATTTTAAAACGAAAGACAAAGCTATTATGAGGTAAATAAATATAAAAAGTAAAAATAATAAGAAAAATAAAACAATTATGTGCCTCGAATACTTCGTTTGAATGCACTCAGCTTCTGGTGACTTATGTCCAATGACTCAACAAAGGTTGTAAGTTTGTTGTACAAGGAACACATTCTATAAAAATGTAAATACAATGGGCGCATTTCAGAAAATACGAAGTTCAAACAAATGTTTGGAAAAGTTATGAAGTCACTTAATACCCAGTGGGACCGCACGGCGAACTGCGTCGTAAAACTTTCTGCACAGTGTAGGTTTTTGCTCAGCAATGGACCTTATTGGTACATCCTGTTACTTTATTTGCAATTAAAGTTGCATAATACGGTATACTTTAATGTCATAAGGTAAATGAAGTAACAAAATCGTGATAGGAAATAAATATTAATGCTAATATTACTATCTTGGGTTTTATAAAAGCGATCTTCAAAAATGTTTATGGGCAAGGCATAATGTTAGTAGTTTAGGCGTTCGTATAATTAAAGTAATAGGTGTTAGGTACATGATTCTGAAAAACATTTATGAGACAAGTTATTAACGTTATTCAGTAACACAAGAGTATCACTATATTCCACGAAGTGTGGTGACAGTAAAAAAAAATTATAGGTACCTTCGCGAATTTCAAGTCCACTCGGATTCTGAAGAGTTACTTGAGTTCTGAACGATTTTTTTTTTTATTTGAAAAAGTGGTAAACGAGCTGGCGGTTCACCTGATTTTAAGTAATAACCGCCGCCCATGGACATTTTCAACATCCGCAGGGTCGCAAATGCGTTGCCGCGTTTAAATAAATTGGGCAGGTCTGCGTGATTGTCACTCCGACGTACTCACTTTTGATCCTCTCGGCCACGTCAACGTTCCTGCAGGCCATGATCACCTTCGCCCCGCGTTTAGCTAGCTCCCTGGCTGTCTCCTTCCCAATGCCGCTAGTGCAGCCCGTCACGATGACAGTCTTCCCTTCCATCTTCTCCGTCCCCTTGTACTCGCCGCACGTGTAACGCGCGTAAAGTCGCAGAGCGTAGAACAGAACGGCAAGAGCTAAGAGCAACAGCACGCCCAGAGCTAGGAGGAACGGGAGCACCCAGATGAGAAAGTCCGCCCTCCAGTATTCTGCGACGATCATGGCTGGAAGAGGAAACAATATTTATGTAGTACTCATTAAGAAATAAGTTGTACATAGATAATAAATTGTTATTTAGGATACTAAAAACAATAGGGACAGTAGAGAAGGGCTGTGCTTAGAAATCTCATTTAAATTGGCCATTGTATTTGCATTTTATATCATAATTATTATAATGGGCTGATTAATGATCAGTTATGCGAGTCGTGTATTGTAATTAGGTATAAACATAGTAGCTATCCTATTTACTGATGTTTTAATAAACATGACGCATGTCTATGCCGCGTGGTGTTGTTTAGATTGTTCCACTTTACATTATATGACGTATGCGGAAAGAGATAGAGTCTATAGTATTGCAATTTAATTACACCAATTGGCTTAATTTCAGCGCCTGAGTTTCGGTGTGCTATTGATTTCCAGTGCCCATGTTAAGTCGTGGTATGGAATGTATAGGAAATCTGTTATAATGTGTCTTCTATATTTAATTTAGAAATGCTTAGGAGACCGTTTAGACATTTTGTACTTTCCAAATACTCATACCTATATCCTAAGTAATTTCTTTTTAATTAGGTAACATACAAGAACTGCAAGATAAAAGTGTTCCTGGATAAAGGTTTTGTTTGGGTTTCTATATAAATTTAACAGGAGCTGTTTACTATTCTGGAATTCTCAAAGGCTGCCAGTACAAATTCTCCAATCATTGCAGATTTCAATTTCAGGCGACTTAGCATTCGGTTAACCTCTAGGTCATTTGCGTCTTTTCTTATGGGGGAACATAATCACGACTTCCACTTTAAACAATAAATGGTTATAAACATATGTTTAGGCGAATCGGAATGTTAAAACTTTTGGTAATGATTTCGTAATGGCGAGGCAGGTCATTGTATTAAACGCAAGCTAATTAATTATCCCCAAACAATCAGCTCGTCCTTAATTCAGATTTCGTAAGGTCCATTGTATAGAACATTTCACGAAGATCGATTGTTTAATGTTTTCCCGCTTTTGATTTGGATTGTGACAAATAAAACTGTTGTTTTCGTCCACATACTTCTTTTAGTAATACAAACTGCCTAAGACTTCTCTGCAATCCGATAATAACTTGCAAGAGACGCTGAACGACACACCACTCCTTTTAAATGTTATTCCAACTTGGCCTCTGCTCTCCCATCTCGCAAAAACGTTCTGCAAGCACGGTTTGTAAATGAATAATGCCTCTAAATTTTTATATGATCAACAGATATTTCAATCTAAGTATGTGATATTTGGACTTCCATCATGTTCAGCGAGCTATGGAGCGGGCTATGCTCGGTATTTCTCTGCGTGATAGAGTTCGTAACGAAGACATCCGCAGTAGACCCAAGATAACCGATATAGCTCAGAGGATTGCTCAAGCTGAAGTGGCGATGGGCCGGCCATATAGCTCGTAGAACCGATAACCGTTGGGAAAGAAAGGTTCTCGAGTGGCAGCTTCGTACTGCTCGACCCCCCACTAGATGGAGTGACGACCTGTGCAAATGTGCGGGAAGTCGATGGATCCAGTTGGCTCAGGATCGTACTTCATGGCAGCCTGTGGGGCCTATGTTCAGCAGTGGACTCGAAAAGGCTGAAATGATGATGATGATGATGATGATGTGATATTTCAACCTGCGGGCCGAATCCTATATGACTTTAACATAGCCCAGGCCCAGGCGTCACCACCTTTTGTCTAGTTACTCGCGTTTTACGAAAGAAATTTTTCGCGGTCAGTGCTGCTATAGATGTATACTGAACGATGTACCACTGTATATGACCTAAATAAAAATATTACTCATGTAATGTGAAATTACTACATTGTTTAGTCTAATCGTTAAGTATTTTAAAATGAAAAATGGGTATTGCATATGTTAGTAAAAAAAACAACGATGTTTTAAAAACACAACTCGTAGAGTGGGAAGCGTATGTAGAGATGAGTTAACGAATAAGGTTCAAAATAACACGAACTTATCAAGACGTAGTAGGTTAAGGAAAACGGTAAATATTTATCTTAACATTATATCGTTTATAAAATGAGCAGCTTTAGATATTTACATTTATAAATCAACACTTACTTAACTCTTGACTGTAATGCTTGGGATTAAGTGATTAGATTAGTGTTAAGATGCTTGAATGGTTAAGTTAGGGTCGATAATTTAATGAATGTTCTCAACACATGAGTACGAGAGAATCGTATGTAATTTACTAAATCATTATAACTGCTCAAAGGATTTTGATGCGATTTCTTAAATAGATAGAGTGATCCAAGACGAAGGTTAATGTGTGTAATTCATGCATATTATAGCAGAGAAACATTGATAATTTTAGAGGTTTCTAATGCGATGTCGAGAACAAACATTCAGCATTGCACCTGTGCGAAGCCGGGGCTGGTCGCTAGTTACTAGACTATAACTTTGCTTGGTTTATTTATTATCGAACTAAGTAATCACATGAGCCGTGATAGCTCAGTATCCGGGCGCTCGCCTTTAATTCAATATACTCCAGCAACCTGAGTTCGATCCCCGGTGCCGGCACCAATGAAATTGTTAATTTCAAGTGCTGAATTATCACGTGCTCCGCGGTGAAGGAAAACATCGTGAGGAAACCTGCATATTTTCGAAATAATAACAAAAATTTTTTTTTCGAAGATATGTGAAGCCGCCAATCCGCAGTGGGGCCGCGTGGTGGACTATGCCCTGATACCTTCTGTATAGAGGAGGCCTAAACCCAGCAGTGGGACATGTATAGGCAGTTACTTTACCTTTTTTTACGCCAATCAGCTCGTCGCAGAATACATCATGACGATTCTTTATATCTGATTTTAGAAACTTGAAACTCACCCAAAGTGGGGTCGGCCACAACGTGTCTTTCAGCGGATAGAAAACCTAATAGGGATAAGGGCAGGAGATAGAAGATTCTCTTTTTTATAAAATTAGATGACGGAGGGGTTATCGTTTCACATGGGAAAGAAATGTCAGTGAATGATATTGCAACAGCCGATGAGTTCACGGTTAAAACAGGTGAGCCTCGGTTACCTCACTCAGCAGACGAAAGTATAAACATTTTACGCTAGTATCCTGTCAGATGATGATATTTCCATAGGACAGTCGGGAAAGGCTGCTGCTTGGTTCTATCCAGTTGAACTTGGTGCAGACTCCACTCGCCTGAGGATTGTTGTGTTTTACCGGTACAATGTGTCCTGAGCGGTAACTGTTACATAAAAACTGTTACATTGTAAAGAACCCCATTAATATATTTTATATATAATTTTTATTCCTTGCACGTTACTTTGGTAACTTCCTACATGTATTCGACATTATAAGGGCAGCGCTTGTCAAACTGTTTGAATTTATCGAACAATGATTCCTTTGATAGCCGACGGCGAGGAAAGGATCCCGAATGGCAGTGTAGGACGACCCCCCCCACTAGATGGGGTGACGAATGTGCAAATGTGCGGGAAGACGATGGATGCAGGTGGCTCAGGATCGTACTTCGTGGCAGTCTATGTTCAGCAGTGGACTCTAACAGGCTGAAGTGATGATGATGGTATCATGTAAGCTTGTATTCTTTAAAGTATCAACCTATTTAAACGTAAATAATTAAGAGTAGTTATAAGATATATTTTACTGTAAATAAAAGTTCCTAAATTATCGTACGTAAATACTTTGAGATGCTCTGCCGCATTGTCATCGCTATAACGCGCGTCGAATAAAACGAAAGTTACCGTTACATAACGTGAAATAGCCTTGCAGGTATTAAGATACTTATGTGAAAGACTCTTAATTAATGTTTCCTTTAATTGATCTAAATAGAACGCAATAAATGATAACGCTTACTAGAGTAATTTCTCTGGTAAGCGTCCGATCCTACTTTAAATCAATTAGACATACCCGTCCTTTATGCGCAATTTCATGTTTCGGTTACCACGCGAAAACTCGACCATGCTAATTTTCAGCACTGAGCCCAACGAAGCTTTTGTCTGCGGGAGTAAATGTGAGACCATAGACAAAGATGGATAGATAGAAAGCCTATATACGCTTATGATGCCTGCCGATCTGATGGAACAACTGTCTGGTATTGGCGTAAAGGTCCTTGATGCCATAAAATGCAAAAAAAAACTATCTGTTAAAACAATTTTCTACGCAACGGAGGATCAATCCAACGGCGCAAGCATCGCAAATTTTCATTTTAAACAACAAGCAGAAGCAGTTCTCACAATTTGTCGTAATTCTACTGTTAAAGTTTTAAAATATTTTAGCATTGGGAAATATCTATGGCCAATAGTAAAATATGAACAATACCCTGTCTAAGAGAGAACATAACGCTGTCAATTTGATTATCGACAATATGGCCGTTGAACTTACAGGTCATTGCCGTTTTGAAATTACTTGTGCTCCTTTACTTAGAAAAGTTTCCAATTGTGACAGTGACAAATGTTCTCTGAAGATACGGCGGTTGGAAAAATCCAAACAAATCGCAAAAAGGCGTCGCTTAATTTGGTCTTATAAAAAATATCAACATTATGTTATATGCGTGTGGCAATTCAATTATGTATGCATTAAATCATTTAGAGTCTGGGCTATAACTGATTGTGAGATGGATATTTTGTCTATGTTGAAGTATTTTCTTGAAACTTACATGGAAAAACAACTGGACTTTTCTTCGATTTATTAAAATTATTAATTTTAATAGTTTCGGAACAGTACTATAATAGTACAGATGATTCAATAGCCCAGTCGCTTAGTTATTGGCTTCCGAGTCGGAGGTCGTGTGTTCGATTCTCACACGGGATAAGTATTTGTGTGACCCACTAGTTGTTCCGGATCTGAGTGCACGTCCTCGTGAAATATTTGTTTGTAAAACGTCCTTTTAGCTCAGGACTTATCCAATGTTCTTTTTTTTTAAACTAAGGTTTCTCTTATCTTTTACCCGATGATATCTTCACTTTCATGCCTTGGGAATATTTCGAAGGGGCCCGTAAACTATTAGCT